TAGCGCAGCTAGCGCAGCTAGCGCAGCTAGCGCAGCTAGCGCAGCGCTAAAAAAAAATTAGCAAGCTACAAAAAAAAATAGCAAGCTATGAATAAGCTATTTTTAATTTATTATACTCCCTCTGCCCGCTTCGATTTGTTATTATATCGTAGATATAACAACAAATTATCTAACAGGACTCGTGGGCTTATTTTCAATAGAAGCGGCCTTATTTATTAGTAAAAGCCGGGAGGTTCTAATAAATCTATATAATATTGCTCTCTTTCTATTAGGTACTTATATCACAATATTCTAGAATATCTATACTAAAATTACCATAGTCGTATTTTAGTATGGCACTAGATCCTTCTGCTAGTTTACGCTGAACAGTATTTGTAGAATAATAAAAGCTAAATATACTTCTAATGGATTTAGCTGAACCTATATAACTTTTATTTGTAATTAAATTATTTCGTACCCTTCGGGTCAGGTATATACCTGATTTATTATTATCCTTATAAAGAATAAACTTGTCCCTTTCTGTATTAAAATATCTTTATACTCTGCCTAATACTTAGGCTTCGCAGTCCAGAGGCGAGGCCTAGGGGGAACTATGTTATTATTAATTGTGTTTTTCATTGTTTAAAGTAAAAAAAAGTTATGCCCTTGTTCACTCTTTCGAATTTATGAGACATGTGTTAAAAACCATTACCATGCTTCATTTATAAATTATAGATTGCAGTCCTTTGGGTCTTCATTTAATCCTAAATTAATTTAGGGATTTGATTTGAGCTAATTTAGTTCACTATAAGATCCAACTTCTACGTTCTGCTCTACCAATTGAGCTTATGGAGATATCAGGAGTCGAACCCGAATTAACTATATGCAAAATAATAGTTTTACCAATTAAACTATATCCCCTAATGAACTTTAAAAAGCTCCAATATCCGAAGAAGGACTTGAACCTTCAAGACTAGAAGTCTACAAAGCTTAAGTTTGTTGTGTTTGCCATTTCACCATTCGGACTAGGGCTAAAGTGACTTGAACACTTATTATTGCTGTTATGAGCAGCATGCTTTACCGATTAAGCTATAACCCTTTTTAATTTAAATTTTATATAATACTCTTTTAAATAGTATTGATTTATTTGTTTTCGTTCTATTTCTAACAGTATGACAACTTATATTTAAAAATTCTGCCTGCGGCCTTTTTTAATTTGTTGTTCAGGGCCTCTGGCCATTTTGTGCTTTTGAATATGTCTGTTCAAAAACACAAAATTATTTGTTGTTGTTCTTCAAGGAGAACAACAAATAGGACTCGGTCCTTGGGACCTTATTTTCAATAGAAGCGGGCACATTTAATTATCGAATCTAAAGTTTTAAATACTGATCTTACTAAATCTTTAAGTTGAACTTCCATATTCTTTCTACTGAAATTATATTTATTTGAAGATTTAATCAATATCCTTCCGTCTTCTAATTTTTCTTCCGTAGGAGCCAGCGACTAATGAACTATTTGATATTGTTTTAATTTCTATAGTAGTAAAAGTTATCTAAACTATTATAGGTTTACTATAGAAAGTCTATTATTCATTTTACTGTACATCTATGTACATTTAACTCTTGTGTTTTTGTTTCCTATAATAACAACAAATAGATGGAATCCTAATTATTTAATCTTAAATAAGATCTTTCAATCTAGATAATCTAATTCTTTTTTACTATGTCAAGTTAATGAATCAAAAAAGGTATTAATAAAATCCTTTAATAGATAATTCAGGTGTACTAATATTAATACTAGTTATATAAACAACTCATGTAGTGTTTAAATTGTTAAGTTTAGCTAAATTAATGAAATATTCTTTAATTTCTTGTGCGGCTGCTTCTGTTGAAAATAAGCAGCTTTAGGAATGGAGCCTCGAATTAAAAATTAATTCTCTTACTATTTAAAAATAGTATATATTTCTGCTTCTGGTCTAATATTACTATTTGTATATAATTCAAATGCCTTTTTAAAATTTAGATATTTAATTTTATTTCTTTTTGAGATGTTACAAAAAAAAATCGCAGAAGATTCATAGGTAGTAAGTTTACCTAATTGTTAAAGTTTGTTGTATAAAATTTAATATAGGTGTATCATCTATATGTAATTTTATTAAAAATATAAATGCATAAGTGCTATTATTTTTAACTAATAAACTTTAAGCATCAGTAAACCTCTAAATCTTTCTATAAATTCATTTGATATTTAAAATTGATTAATTTCATATTTAGAAGTTGAAGGAATAAATTTTATATTATTCGTCTTGTTTAATCGTAATAAATAAATAAATTATTACTACTATATTTAGAGCAAAAGATTGCTATTTTTTGTGCGTGCGTGCGTGCGTGCGTGCGTGCGTGCGTGCGTGCG